TTGGAGGTGTTGATGTAAGTGAAACTTTGAGTCAGTTTTGCCTTCAGTACAGAAACAGGTTCTCAAATGCTGTGACATTCTAATCCATGGTAGTGAAAGGAAATATTAATTCAAGGCAGGAAGTGAAGATTCATCATCTGAGAAATAGAAATTTGGTGAACACAATGTATCGTTTTTTAGCTTAGAAGAGGAAAGATTAAAAAGAGACATAGTTGCATAAAGGTAAAGATTCCCCTTGCACATATGTGCTAGTCATTCCTGACTCTAGGGGATGGTGCTCTTCTCCATTTCAAAGCCGAAGAGCCAGCGCTGTCCGAAGACATCTCCATGGTCATGTGGCTAGCATGACTAAATGCCAAAGGCGCACGGAACACTGTTACCTTCCCACCAAAGTGGTCCCTATTTTTCTAATTGCATTTTTACGTGCTTTCGAACTGGTAGGTTGGTCGAAGCTGGGACAAGTAATGGGAGCTCACTCTATTATGTGGCACTAGGGATTCGAACCGCGGAACTGCTGACCTTTCTGATCCACAAGCTCAGTACCTTAGCCACTGTGTCCTTTATATAGCATCAAATAAGAGTAGAAGGCCATAGGATAATAAAGATGAATGTTTTGTAATTTCACTATGCTCTGTCATCTTTTGAACTATAAGGAACTATTTTGGCCTTCTGAAATCTCTCTTGGAAAGAAGAACATATGTTTAAAAGCCAGTGAGATTGTGTAGTATAAAATCTGAGAAGAGTGAAAGCCTTTAATAGAAATATACACGGATATTTAAAATTGCACAAGATACTTGTAAGTTATGCTATCTAATATAATTTGAAGATTATTCTCCAGGTACTTTGTCCTGTCCTAACAAATGTAATTAAAAGTGGCATAGTACTTTTAGCAAAGTATCTCTGATGTAGTCATTCAAGTAACTGGAGTTCTTGAACGTGTCTTAAAATGTCTTTTTACATCTTATCCATGTGGCCAGCCATCTGGTATCACCCAATCTCATTGCCTCTAATTCAAGCCAATAACATCTGTTCAAACAGGAGTTCATTAATTTCTAATGTAGTTTGACATCTGGGCTTGGTTGGCTTCTGGGGAAACCTTTTTCAGTGCTTGTAAAGTTAACGGGCAACCCAGCTCAGAAACTGAAATTGTAGAAAAGTTATAGCATAGTATCTGGAAGTACATGCAGTTTGTCTCTAGTCAATAAGATGCAACTGATTGGCTGTGAGATGTATCATTTTTATTATACCTATTATAATCATATGTTCAGTCTTAAATATAACTTCATCTTAATAGAAGATGACAAAGTGTTTATGATTATAATAGCCTTAGACAGACTCAATTAAAGATCATCCATAAATTTAGTACAAGGTCATGGCTAAGGAAACAGCATATTTATCTCATTAAATATAAATTTACAATGATGTTTTAATTGGTTTGAACTAAAGAAGTAAAGCTGGATTTAAAGTTGATAGGGAAGAGAGGATAATTCTTGAAAAATGCGGGAATGTGTTTTATAAAGACGGAAGTACCTATATTTTTCTCAATAGCTTTGATATAACAAGCAAAAAAATCTTCTCACTAGCCCAGGCTCTTATGTAGTCTTACCCTAAAAACTGATAATATAATAAAAGCAAATTCCATGTACCGTATTTTCACGACCAAAAGCCGCACCGGATTAAAAGCCGCAGTATCAATTAACGTTAATTTTTT